TTGTATATTTCATTGTATGCTTTTGCTAATGTGGCTTGACTATCACACATGATAGGTATAGAAGATGTATTTTTCGGTCCCAAATGTATCTCATAAAGTAGATCCTTAAGCCACTCAGCTTTTTTCCCGATTTCTGATGATGCTACAAATTCAGATTTCATAATTGAGTGTGTTATATATGTTTGTTTCTTCGATTTCCAAGAAACAGCATCGCCTCTAAGAGTAAACACCTAACCTAAAGTGGATTTACTTTCACACATGCTAGATATCCAACTAGTATATGTAAATCCCTCCAATATAGTCGGGATTTAGTATATTGTAGACCTAAGTTCTTGGTTTTCTTTATCCAAGAACTCTTCCAATGACATTCCAATGATCATTACTCGAATTACTAGTAAACCTACTAAGTTTACTAATTGAAAAAGCTATATCTGGTCTTGTGCATTGAACAGTGTACATAAGCCTCCCGATAGCATCTGCATACTCCAATTGAGCAATTTCTCTTTCATCATTCTTTATAAGTCTTAAATTTGGATCAAGAGAAGTACTATACTCTTTTATGTTCAAATGTATGAACTTATCTATCACACTCTCGATATTGTGTGATTAACTTAAATGATAACTCCCACAAGTTTTAGTAACTTTGATACCCAAAATTGTATCCACTTGTCCAAGATCCTTCATTTTGAACGTGGAAGATAGAAACCTCTTTGTTTCTTTTATTCCATTCATGTGATTACTCTCAATTAACATGTCATCAACTTATAAGCAAATGAATATCACATAATTTAGAATACAAACATTTATCTATGATATTATGCTTAAAACCAAATGAAATAATAGCTAAGTTAAATTTCTCATGCTATTTCTTGTGTGTTTGCTTCAAACTGTATAATGACTTTATTAATTTACATACCTTACGTTCATTTTCGGGTAGAAAAACCCTTCAAGTTGATCCATATAAACCTCAACATCGAGATCCCCGTTCAAGAATGCTGTCTTGACATCCATTTGATGAACATACAAGTCATGTATAGAAGCTAATGCAAATAATATCCTAATTGATGTTATTCTAGCTACCAGTGCATAAGTATCAGAATAGTCTATTCCTTCCTTTTGTCGATAACCTTTTGCTACTAGTCTAGACTTAAAGGTATTAAGAGAATCATTAACATTGTACTTTCTCCTATACAACAATTTACATCCAATAGGTTTGGATCCAAGTGGTAAATCGACAAGTTTCCATGTATTGTTTGACATAATTGAATCCATTTCATCATTAATTGCATCTTTCCAAAAAATGCTATCTTGAGAAGGACCATGCTAGTTGTACAATCGAGGTGACAACCTCGGTTGACAACCACTCACATGGGGGGTCCGCTTTTTTTTTAAAAAAAAATTGTTTAAACATGCGGACCCCGCACACATGTGAGAGGTTGTCAACCCAGGTTGTCAACCTCGATTGTATAAATAGCATTTTCCTCTTGAGAATTCATAGTCTCTCTATAAGTTTTAGGATATGTTTCTACTTGTAGAACAAAAGTAATTGTTCTTACAACATGCTTTCCATTTCCTTAAGTAGAACGAAATAAGTAGAGAGTCAATTTCATCATATCCTAAAGACTTCTCAATTCGAGTTCTTTTACTCATTCGAGGTTCATTGGATTCATTAATATCTTTAGAAGATATTTCATCCTGTGTTCCACTAGAGCTTGTGATTTCTTTATTAATTTCCCTTAATTTATTATCCGAAGATAGTGAATTCTCGAAGAATTCTACATCGCTGGATTCAATAATCACATTGGACTCCAAATTCAACAATCCATATGATTTGCTATTACTAGCATATCTAACAAAGGCACATTTGATGTCTTTTGGACCTAATTTGGTCCTATTAGGTTTTGTGTTCTTTCAATAAGTAAGACCCCCCACACTTTGAAGTATCCAATGATTGGTTTTCTTCCTTTCCACAATTCATAAGGAGAAACCTTAGTAAATTTTGAAGGAATTCTATTCAATATCCTACATGCACTTAATAATGCTTCACCCCATAAATTAAATGACAACTTAGTATACATTAGCATAGCATTAATCATATCAACTCAAGTTCTATTTTTCTTTCAGCCAAACCATTTTATTCAGATGTCCTAGGTGCATAACAT